CCTTATTAGTTCTTTGATCGTCTAACCTTTATGTTCCTTTTTATGTACGGTCAGGCGTGATCGGTGGTCATTAATAAGTTCCACTTGGCTAATCAGAACAAAGGGAACGCTTGTTCGGATGTTCATTTTTGAATTTCTTTATTACGCTCCTCCATTTCCAGTTCTTGCTGGGGCCTAAAATTCTTGAAACCTATCCAATATCCACGTCATGGCAGCATGCTGTATCGCTTCTTCTTCATCACGCTTCCCGAACAACGTCTTTTATCAATCGCTTCCTTTTTTTGGTATGGGCTTTTTATGCTTATTCAATCTGCGGAAACTAGATTCCTCTCGGAGATGCAATAAAATGTGGCAAAATTATCAAATAGGTTTTGCCTGCTCCATTTTTTTCGCTACTGCACTGTCCCCCACTAGTCGGTGGAGCCCGACAAAGATGCTATTGCTGATCGTTTACAGTTGATAGGAACCCCATCCCTTCCCTCTCCCCCCCCCCCCTCGACTCATTCCTTCCACATCATGGTTCCACAGCCAACATTTAGGACAGTTGGTAAAACCGACATTATATTGAAGGATTGAAGGGACAGAATATTAGCAAACTGTCTGCAACACGATGATGTGCTTATTCCCACCCACCCTAGCTTGTGAAGAAGACAAGATAAGTTCGAACTCTAATGACCCTGAGAGTGTCCTTCAAAGATGCACTCAAATGTTGCCTTGTGGTAGTTGTTGTTGCGAGGGGGGGGGGCGTGAGACGCGGAATTGGGGGAGGGGCGTGAGACGCACCTAATTTCCATTCAGAATTCTATAGGTTTTTGAATGCGAAACGGCATCTAGTGCGACTTTCAGGGGTCATAGGGGCCAGCCGATGCCGGACGAGAGCAGTAGCACCTTGGCGGCCACGGAAGATGGAAGGCTTGGTTAGCCAGGGCGGTGCGGGCCAACCAGTCACCTTCGGACGGTCTGTTGCATAGTTTCAATTATTGTGCTATTACTTTTTACTTTCTGTAAAGAGACTCTCTTTATAATTTTAGGTAATAATTGCCTCCTAGTTTTACGCCACGTCAACTACTCTACTGGTATAAAAACCGTGTACGATGAGAGGAGAGAGTCGTCGTTGGTTCCACGACACCAAGACCGTTTCAAGGATCCGCTGCCACCTTGACAACGCCAAACACTGCGATTTGGAGAATCGCATCGATGATTGCGCCATTGCATGACGAGACAAGACATGATTGATTCCCACTCATATTGTACAAAATGAATAATAGAAATATTTCTAGAATTTCCGAGGCTTGGTTACGGTATCCCACGGTAACTTTAGCGAGACAGGCTAACAGTCCGTCATCCATGAACGCCACAAACGAATGACGTTCACCATTCAGGTGACAAGTAAGAAGAAGGTTATCAGAAAAGTGGGCCTGACATGGTGAGTCAATCGGTTATCAGCAAGATAATAAGGCACCAATGCAAGGAGAAGTTCCGACATATATACGAAAAGCGGCGTCCGATTACACTGGTTTCCAATCCTCTTTTACTTTCAAAAACTGCTCTAATAACTTTCACAGGAATTCCCTTATATTTGATAGAATCTGTTATTGAGTAGTTTGTTAAGCTTTTGCACAATCACAATACGTTGGGGAATTCCCAACGGGGGAGGGGGTCGTATTTGGTCACCGGGGAAGGGGGTCTATATTTGGTCTGAGAAATTTTTTGGATAGTTCATTTTTAGTGCTTCACGGGCGCTGTGAGGAGAGGGTGCTCGTGCTTGCGTTCACGAGGAAGCTCCGGAGTTGTGAGAAAATTCCATTCCAGGCTGGTGACTTTTCGCGGTTTTTCCTGTTTCACATGTGTTCTACCCTTCCGCTCGACGTCGACGACAAAATCATGTGGAAAAACCAGGGATTTTTTTAGGAAAATTTGTGAGGAATAGAAGCTAGGATGGGAGAGGTGGGGAGGTCGTATTTTCCGAAAATTCTTTCCCGGCAGCAGGACGTCCCAATCGTGCGTTACTTTAGTCCTGCAGAGGGACCTGGTTGAATTCCTCAACGCTCACGACATAGTTTTCCAACTTAGTGATGTAATCTGTACGATTCTAAAGACCAAGATTCTCAGAACTATTTCCCATTCAATTACCTTTCTAGTTGCCCGAGTCAATAGCCAGCTTTATAGGGAACACCGGTTTCCATGGTTTTAAGAGAAAACCTGGTTTGCTGTGATGGCAGGCTCGCATAGGTAAAAGTACTTCGATTAGTCCTGTCCTGAGCCAGGCAGCGACAGTGACGCTATCTGAGCGAAAATCTTATCATCCTGCCTTGTTTGTTGTGTGAGCCATCAATCGTGCAGAGATTCGCATAGTCAGCAGGTTTATGGCTTCCCCAGAGCAAACTTTTTCGATGACTTATCGTCACAGGCACGTTATCGGCCATTTTTTCGTTTCCATTGTAACGTCGCCTGGGAAAATCTAATTCCGCTTACTCGACTGAGATTGTTTTTTTGCAATGCAATGAAGTAATAAGCTCATGAATGCATGCTAATTCATTATCGATCTCATAGCTGCTCTTTTTCTATTAATTTGACGTCAGAAGGCGCCCAAAGCAAAACAGCAGAAGCCGTATTCACAATCTTCATCCTTCCCTGAGGCAACGAAAGCCGATTGCTTTTTGATTCCGCCCCCATTCGTCGCATAGGGTGGAATCCTCCTCAGTTGGATTTCCCTTGTGGAGCATCTACCAGCTAGTTTTCGGTTATGAAATGCCAATACCAACGGAACATAAGGCCATTTTCGGCAGCTCTTTCATGAATGGGCTCTATGCCTAGGCCCCATGCGGGTGTAATTTGAAACACCTGGGTGACATGCAAACTATCAGCGTATATCCCAACTAAGCTGACTAGCGCTTAAGCTGTTGGGTACTGCTGCGCTGAAACTACTGGGTAATGGTGCGGGTGCCGCGCATGTGACTCCGTCTTGAGCGCATCATTCTCCGGGGTCTCCGCAACCCCTTCAAGTAGAGGGGGAAGCCTGTAGCATTAGCGTTTGTTAAAGGTAAAAGGCACGATAATTTGGTACTTGGTCTGAAACGGTAGCGAGGTGACATATAATGGAAAAATGGAGGAAAAGCGAAACAAATCCCTCAAAAACCTGCAAAAAAACCTCTGCAAACGGCTCAGAAACAAGTTTCGGACGAGTTTCCCATTGCCATCGTGCCAGCGGGGCGGTTGAAACGGCTGCATGTATGTATACTCGAAATCCCTGAGATCGGGTAGGCGTGGCTGCGTACTTGATTTTAAAATGGCGGCGGCCCAGGTTTTCGTGAGATATTGTCATTTTGGAGCAGTCGTAATCATGTCTACATCTAACACAGAACAAGATAGCAGTTGTTTCAAATTGAAGTATCCCACGAGAAACCCGTCCTATGCCATGCTCAAAAGCCACGCCTACTCCGTCTCAGGGATAAGGAGTGTACTCATATATCCGCTCAAGTGTACCTTCCTTGAAGGAGGCGTCACGTAGCTGCTCCTCACGGGTGCCGAATTCTGTCCTTCCAGGCGTATTGATTCTACCTCTTGGCAATTCCACCTGCCACCTTTCTCTAATGAAGCCTTCAAAAGTACGAGAAGTAATTCAAAGGGACAAGTGTAATGAAAGGTGGCGCTATTCGAGCATCGTCCAAAGGTTGAAATTCTGGCCAATCAAGTCTTCAACGTTGTTCAGTCAGGTAATTGGTGCCAGACTCATTGGCGAAGATGAAATTTGGGGCTGTAGATCAAGTGGATCTTCGCCAGTCATCACAATCATCAGGCTACCGCCTTACGATACCTTCATGGTTCTAAATGGAAGCAGCAGGCTGACCTATCCCAAAACGAATTGATTGCTGCCTAATGTTTATGCTCTTCCTTGACGGGGTGTTCATATAGAGCTAAGTCCATGGCAGTTTTTATGTAATTATGGTGGCAAACAAAGGTTCATTCATGATGTGCGAGAGATAGCCATAGCGTGCTAGCTTTTCTTGCTATTTGGGGATGATCTGCAGCTTACCATTTGAACTTGATAAGCTTGGTAGAAGAAAGGCGAGGTTTTTGGCACCTACAAGAGATGTCTTTCGGGCCGTGGACCTTATCTTCCCATTAGAAACGGTTTGTTGTGTGTTGAAGAGGTTCATACGTGGACCACAATACTGTACGTCATTTTCGCTGCACATTTTTGGGATGTCCAGAAGGGCTGAAGAACGTCTTTGACTTCACGACGAGTTCGCGAAGAGAGCTGTTCTGTTACCTGAACAGGAGCTTTGGGTGTTTTTGGACGCGCTTCATTTCAGAGAAAAGGGTCCCACTCATATGAGAACACAAAAATAAAAATTGCAGTAATGCAAAATTTCATTAATTGGGCGATTTAAACCATCAGTCTACTGTTCACCCTTTCGTTTTCATTCCTAAAAACGCGCTATACAAAATGCAACAAACTGTTCTAGAAATGGGCACCACGACCTGAAAGACCGACCCCCTAGTGAGTATACAGTCTTGGTGGTGGTTGGCATTTCTACAGTTAACGCTTCTGCATTTTTCCCTTCATATTATTCTTCTCATGAAGATTCAGGGGTTAAGGAAGATGATCATAAAGAAGAGCTAAGCATTAGTCGTTGGTCAATCTCTTTCTCCGAATAGACTTCTCCGAACAATTCTAGTGGCGTTTGTCTTATACCATGACTTGCGATGAGCATTTGATGCGCATTTCAATGTTTTTATGCTCAAAATGAGTCCGGTACTAGGCAACCCGACTGGCAAAGGCCAAAGTCTAGGTGGCATTACTATACTGAATCCACGCTTTGACGGTGTTATTCGCTTTTACTCCATCTCTGTCTGAATATTGTCACATGTTTGAGAGCAGTAGCCTTTCGCGTTTTATTATATTATTTCAGCTGAATGAAGTAAAACATTAGCGACCAGAAGGCTGCGCTTTCTGAAATGCTTGTCCTACTTGATTTTTCCAAGTGTTTTCAGGAATGTGTGTCTTCTCGTCATGCGGACAAATCGTCTTTGGCGTTGTGATGATCGGCTGCCTCGTATTGACTGCCATACCGACATTCAACGGAAGTGAGTTCCGAGCGTTTACCGAAGAAAGAGAATCGTAAGGCTGCGGCCATACTTTGCGGCTGCGTCCACTATGGTCTACCAGCGTGCACAAGCGTTCCGAGCGCACAGCAGCGTCAGCTACAGGGAAAGTGTAGATATCGATCGAGCGTCTACCAGCGTCTCTCAGCCAGCGTCTTGTGAGCTAGGAAGCATAGATATCGATCTAGCTTCTACCACGTACCAGCGTTCACTAGCGTTCATCAGTGTCCCGTAGTGACGAGCATAGTGAAGTAGGAGGAGAACAGCTAGATTAGGCGTCCTGAAAGTGCGGCGTGTGTAACCGCACCATACGACCACAGTGCACCGTATATTGAGCTGCATAATCCTGTCCTTTAGCAGTTGTGCGGGGCGGATGCACACGCCGCAATTTCACGACGCATAATCCAGCTCTTTGCTGCCCTCCTGCTTCCCCATACTCTCTACTTTCAGTAGCCGGTGGACGCCGGTGGACGTTGCTAGACGCTAGATCCTGACCTGTGGAGACCTGTGCTTCCCTAGCCCTCGAGAGGCTGACAAAAGCTAGTGAACGCTGGGAGACGCTGGTAGACGCTGGTGAACGCTGCCGCAAAGTATGAACGCAGCCTAAAATAAAGCAACCAGCTCAGCAGATCAGAGCACCTTCAGACCCCGGCATGGTCAGTAAAAAGAGAAAAAATCGGCTGAGATCTCACGCCTTCATGCTGCTTTGCTTGAACCTTGAACCAGTCTTTGAAAGAGGTTCAGGGAGTGAGCCTGGCAGTGTCAAGGCATGAGATTTCCGTACATATTTTCCTGACCAACTATCCGTGAGGGTGAAGTTGCCCCCATGCTCTGAGAGTGTCTCAGGTTTAAGATGATAGGGTTATTATGTAAAAGAGGAGCTGTAACCTATGTTGAAAGTTGAACTGCTTTTTACAGAACTGTTCTCATGGAAGTGTCTGAACGATCTGAAAAACTGTGATCCATTTGAGAAGGTTGGACCTTAGGATTTCTACTGAGAAGATTTCGCTCTCTTTCGCTACATTTCTTTTGATTTCTGTTTAGGCACAGCACGGATACATGAAAACCGTTGCCATCTTCATGGTTCTAGCTCTGGCATTCGAGATAATATCATTGATTTGGAATCTTATCGCTTTGTAAGTTTTTTATAGAAATCGTAAAAGCTAATCGATGGGAGAAGTTCTCGATTCAAACCAAGATAAATAGTGCCCAATAACAAAATGTGTTGAAGTTCCTAATGAGAAACTGGTCCCACAACGCTTGTCAAGCTCAGACCTCCGAAGAATATGCTGGTGCATTTTGATCACCGCAGCCGCGGGTCTTCGAACTGTAAAAGCGGTACATCCTCTCTGGCTATGAACCTGACCCGCAGAATAGTTCTACTCATCCAGTTATGGATCTTCTTGTTGTGTTGTGTTTTGTTTAACAACACGATCGCTCTGTCTGGTGCCAATCCATTAATTTCCGAGGGATATAGGAGTCAGCTGGTCCAGGTGTTACCTAGTACACGTGGCTGTGATGAGACTCTAACCACCTTATTAGCCCATTGTTTATCGAAGGCACCTTTCAAGGCTACTTGAGTATAGCAATGTTCTCCGTTAATCAAACTACATATCTCACAGAGGGAATAGGCGTGGCGGCGTACTTCATTTGAACATGGCGGCGGCCATACCTCTGGTGATATCGTTTCTTTTTGGGCCCATGGTAAACATGCTTTTCCAGCGCAAGAGAAGACGGCAGTTGTTTCAAATGGAAACGAATTCCAAGAAAAATACATCCAATGCAGTGTTCAGACTGAGTGCGTGGCCACAACCTCTCTTTTCCCGGAGATATGGAATATAGTTGGACGGAACCGTGTTCTGGGTAGTTCCGCTGGCATGCAATCGTGACCCAACAGCGAGGAACAATGGCACATGCTTGTGTGGAAAATGCCCAGCAAATGTGTCTCACACCTAGGGTACAGCATCGTAGTGTGTAAAACTTATGGGGGGGGGGGGGGTCGTATGCAGCTCTGAGAGAAACTTGCCGCGTTGGGAAAAATTTCCCCGGTTGTTTGACGCTTTCTCCCCCCCCCCCCCGTCCCACCAACCCCAGCACCCCAGCTCGACGGAAAATCTTTCACGGTGAAAATGTGGGGAAATTTCGGAACTGATAGGAACTGGGAGCCTGTAGGAAAGAGGGGAGGTTGCACCGAGACCCTACCTAGGGTGGGGGGGGGGAGTCGTACCGAAATCCTACCTTCAGGCAGGATCTCATCATTGCGGACCGGTGGGGCGTGTCAGCCAGAAGGAGTGCGCACACTGTTGAAGCCGTTCTCAGCCTTTTTTGTTGCAACGCGTATGCGACAAAAAGTGGTAAACGAGTAATACGAAGGATATAATACAGTAATGCACTTGCCCGCTTCAAAAACTGGTGCAGAACGACTTTGCCAAACCGCACCAAACGCAGCCGCACTGCCACGCCCCACCGGTCCGCAATGATGAGGACTGTAGCTGCTCAGACTAGAAACTGCGTAAGCTGCGTGCATCTTTCGTCACTCTCCCTCTAATCTCTTTCCCAAATTCATAAGTGAAAAAGAAGAAGCCTTCGGCCTTCCAAAGGATATTTTTCTTCATTAGCGGTCAACCAGCACCTACAGTTCACTGCTTTAGCCGCATTGGTAACATCATGTTGTAGTGGAATATGCCTTTAGTAAGAATTGAGCTGTTAACTTGTGGGATCGAAGTTGAAGCTGAACAAAGTTCCTCCTATTAGTTGGAAAAAAACGGTGCAAATTGTACTGAAGCCTAAGAAGAGAGAAGTTTAGGCGATTATCACCCTGGTTTAAAGTGCTCCTTGTGCAGAAGTGGAACTAAGGTCATCTCGATAGAACATTGTACGTATTCGGTAAACCACCTCCTAGCCTCCCTCGTTCATGCCTATTCAGAAGTTCATCTCCATAACGGTGGTTCTAGTCTTGTCCCAGAAGCCCTTTGAATGCTTCCATCGGTCATCAGTGTCAGTCATTCATGCAAACTTTCCAGCTTCGCCTGCTGTTGCAAGAAGTTCATCGTTCACCCGCTGACGATACTATCTTTCCTTACAACGGCCTTTCTACTCGTTGCCGTCATTGTCTATGCAGTGAATAATAAAGGAGATCTGGGTAAGAAAAACATTTTCCATTTTCACCTATCCTAGAATTTTGTTTGTCGAGTCATCCTTACCTTGGTTACCTACTAAAGTAAAACATTTTTGCAGTCTATTTTACCCAGGTTTGTCAAGTCATTGTTACCTTGATCATTCACTAACGCATAACATTTAAGCCGTGTTCGAAAAATTTAGGCAAATAAGGCATGTATAAAGGTATTAGAAGCCTTCGCTTACTTGTCTCATTGACTTGATTGGCTTTTGTGGGAGGGGGAGGGGGGGGGGTGTGTAGCGTTACTTGTGAGTTGCTGCAAGCGCAGCGCAAAAGCTGTTACAAGCGTGATTATGTGAGTAGCATTCGCACCAGACTCACTCCACTCAACGTGGCTGCTGTCTACTCCCTGTGTCTCATGTCAACTTGCCAGGGAAACCTGCGAGGCTACGACTGAGAAGTAACGCTATACATCCTCATAATGATGCGATGGATTGTTAAAGGGACCAGTCGGTGTCGATAACCCGTCTTCACCCGCCCTTCAACTGTGCTGACTAGTGACAAGAACGTTTATTCACTAGGGTGCAACTGAATCACAGAGGTATTTGGGCGTGAAGTAAAATGCAATGCGGCTGGGGAACCTTACATTATTCAACGCGCTTTACCTTGAAAAAAACCCTTGGTGGATTTGTCTTAGTTGAACGGACAATGGAACTATAAAACTGGGAATGTCTCGCTCGATGTTGCTCATTTTCAAAGAATCGAGGGGATAATAAACTACATATTCGTTCTAAGTATGGCTTACGGTCAGTGGAACACGAAATTAAACTAGTCTCGTCTTGAAAATTAATCGGCCTTTTCAACTGTTTCTTTTGATTTTTGGTTCTCAACGCCCCTTCCGTTAGCAACATTCAAACCTAACTTTTTTGACTCCTCGCTTGCACTGCATTTGAAATTCTGGTCCCAGGGACGGCTGGTGCTTTGTTATTGGAATCAGATTAACATATTGGGCAGTTGTCTACTACACCAGTAGACAACGTTTGAGCCAAGTCTATCCAGGGAGAAAAGTTCGGTCAAAAACTGGCTTGTTTCCGTGGGCAGTTAAGGGTAAATAGGGCCGGAATATTGCATTGGAAAATAATGGACATGCGATACCACACAAGGGAAACATATGGAAAGCCTAATGTGCAATAATACCCCGAAGTAGGCAGCAACGCAAGCCTTTTGTCCTGAGTTTGAAACCACTATGCAGGGGGGAACTTCTACCGTCAACCTTCTCTTGACAGTTTACATCGTTGTTGGGGATTCCCCAACAGGGGTTCGTTTTTGTCGCTGGGAGAGGGGGTCGTATTCGGGCTGAGAAAAATTTTTTGATGGTTGATTTTTTGTTTCAGGGACTTAGCAAGGGAGAGAGGTAGTATTTGCTCGTTGTTGGGAGGGGGTCGTATCTCCCTTCTGAGCTTCTGAGAGAGGGCTGACTTTTCGTAGTTTTTCCTATTTCACATGCGCTATATTCCCTTGCTCCCCCCCCCCGCTCCACAATTCGATGAGAAGGGAACCAGGGGTCGTACCAACTCCCTAAAAAGGGGAGGAGCTGTCGTACGGACTCGAGCAAAATCCTCAACCAATGATGTGCCTTGTTCCTCAAGCATTCCTATTTCAAAGGAACTAAGACTAGCTACAGGAAGAAACGCGCTTTCGGGAAGTGCTCCTTGTTGATAACAAAGCCTACGCTTATGATCTTTGCGGAACGCTTTGTGTCACAAGGAAGGGCCAAACTAATGTTACCGAAAATACAAACCTCTGGCCAGATCTCAACAAATCAGACTCAGAAGCCCACAAAACGTTCAGCACTCTCAGGGCGCGTCGAATAAGGTGGGAGTCCGCTCTACTTTAGCTTCTGTGAGTCCGTTGCTCCCTAGCGGACAATCGTCTTCTTTTATGATCAGTAAAGATCTAGGCGAAGCTTACATCACTCAACGCGTCTACTTTAAAAACCGTTGGTGGATTTTCTTGGATTGAACGGACAATCCTAAATATAAAACTGGAATGTCTCGCTCGATGTTGCTCATTTTCAAAGAATCGAGGGGATAATAAACTACATATTCGTTCTAAGTATGGCTTACGGTCAGTGGAACACGAAATTAAACTAGTCTCGTCTTGAAAATTAATCGGCCTTTTCAACTGTTTCTTTTGATTTTTGGTTCTCGACGCACCCTTCCGTTAGCAACATTCAAACTTAACTTTTTCGACT